TCGTTGAGAAGTGAAAACAAAGCAAAAAAAGATGAACAAAGAAGTGGATAAAAAATACCTCTTTCAAACATCCATAGAAAGAAGAAATCCCCTAAAAATATTTTTTGAATGGTAACAAAACTTCTGGCATACTTCCCAAAGATTAGAACCAAACCATGAGCTGATATATAGTAACATGACAGAAAATGAAGCATTAGGAAATGAAAACAAATCGAAAAAGATGAGCAATATTCTATCTAGATAGTTAATTAGAGAAGACCTTGGAAGATGAGAAACTTTTGGAGATGGTTTGTGGTTCTAGATGCAGATTTCTTACTCGAATGATGCCAAAATGTATAAAAAATCACTGGTTTGAACAAATGAACAATTTAGAATTAGCTCAAGATCTCCTTTCCATGTACAACTTGACTAAACCTTACAGAACAAGAACAAAATCAGTTGCTTGACTCTTTCTAAGTAGATGCAATATGAATTGGAAAACAGAGGGGCAATTTTGAATTAACTCCAAGATCTCCTTTCCATCTGCAACTTGGACAAACCACCTCATTTCCATTTACATTAAGTTTTAAAATTCAAAGTTATCTCAAGAACTTACCATCTATGTTACTTCAACCAAGGCTATTGATTTTACGTTTTCCATGTATAGCACGATGGTTATGGAATTGAGAGTGACTGAGTGGGCAATGACATGGCATATTAGGAATGGTGGGAAGGGGAGAGGAGAGAGAGTCAAGGAGAATGCAGAGTGGGGGTAATAATGCAAGGAGAGGCATGGTGACATGGTCCCTCTTACTATATCTATACTATATATAAAAGTGCGAATGCAATGCGAAACTTTTTTTGGACTAAAATTACCATCTACTTCTTTGTTTGAGAAAGGGTATAAAAACCATTTTATTACAACTTTAATGGCTACTAAAATGCCCATAATTGTGTATTTAGTCCATCTCTAATGGTAATGTTGAAAATGTAACTTCAATTATTACTTCTCACATCATTTAATTCCATTTCATTATGTCTTATACTTAAATTATTAACTCTCATTTCTCTTATTAAATTAGATCCGTGTTAATATTTTTAACAATATAAACCCATATATTTTAAAACTGACTAAAAAACAAAACACATTTTAATCCAAGTGGTGGCTAAGAAATTCGACCATCCGAATATCAAATTGATTAACCTATGAAGTCATAATTAAGTAATAAAATTTTTAAAATAGAAATAAATATAGAAATTTACAAAAAAATATAAAAAAATTAGACACCTTTATGATATTTTTATTAATCAAATTATTTTACTATTTGACAAAGATCAATAGTTCAAATTTTGGGTCAAACATGTTAAATTTTTAATGTCCTAAATAAATAATAAAATCTAATAAAATATAAAAATACAAAAACAAAAAAATACATAAATTTTGCACAAAAAGCATTTAGACACATGTATAATATCATATATTTATCATTTTAAACAAAAAGTAAGTATGACACATTAGGATTATTTTTACACACAAAAATACAAAAAAATTATAGAAAAAATTGAACACATCTATGATTCTATATTTACACTACTATTAAAAATATGAATAAGATTGTAGAACTTTTTTTACTAAAATACTCAATTTTGAATTTAGTCCTTATTTAATTATGAGGTTTAAATTGTAAATTGAACTACTACTTTTCACCCCATTCTATTCCCTCTATTTAAATCTTACATTTGTTTTTTTATGAATAAACAAAAAGGATACACAAAAAAAGATTAAATATTACAAAATAAAAAATCTAGCCAAGCAAGTAGACTTATCAATGAAACTTGAAACTTCACAATTCAATTTGATTATCACATATTTGGATAAGGTGTTTATGTAATCAGATTTGAATTTTCAATCAACACCTGATTAATAATAAAAAATATATATATTTTATAGAAAAATTTGGATACATTATTATTATAATTATCAAGTGCAAAATACATACACACTTTCTAATATAGATAGATAGATAGAAAAGTCAGATTGGGCTAGCCCAAGAATCCAAGCCCACCTCGTATAAGATCTCAATTACCTAAGATTAGCTAAGGTTGGGCACGCCGGATTTGCAGCTCTAATGGCTAATGCTCCCTTACTTTATGATCATGGAACGAAGGTATGAACCTAGTCACATAGGTATGGGGTTGGGTGCCCAACAAAGGTTTTAAATTTTTTGTATTGTGGTCCTCGAGGGGATTTTTTTCTATGGGTACCCGTGTGTACACCCTCATTTAAGAAATTCTAAGCTTAATACTTTTAATATCTAAGGAAATGTTTGCAAATGTGCATAACTTTGTTTTTCCTGACAAGCTGGCCATCAGCAAAAAGTATATTGATCTTGCTATGTGGAAGTGGTGGTTGTTTTTGTTTTGATTGAAAGCTCAGCTAAGGAATTCTAATTCCCACATTTTTTTTTCAAGAGATAGATCTATGACAATAAATATGTATGAGGGGAAAATCTATGCTGCCAGAAATATAAATGGGGACAGACCAACAAAATTTGCAAATAATTCTCCAAACCTGCCTGAACCTGGTGATAAATTACTAAAGTATCCCTGAATTTATTATTAATTTTTAAAATCTCCCTTAGTTTTTCTAAAATTCTTAAAACCCTACGATCCCATGATACCATTTTTAAAATAGTCTAAAATTTTCATAATCCCATTTCGAAATACCTCAAAATTCCTATAATTCTATTTTAAAATACCCTCAAAATTTGATGTATTTTTAAGTGGCTGTCTCAAAATAGAAAAAAAAAATCCTAACAGCAAAGGGGTGCACCTACTAAGGATGGGGGAATGGAGTAGGGGATTTTATCTACAGACTACAGGACAGAGAGGGAGAGGGGGTGCCCCACCCGAACCTACCCGGTTGCCAAACCTAATACCGGATGGGATCGATTACCACTTGTACAAAATTTTCTACTATCATGCATAGTGGAACCCACATATGATCTATTATGTTAGAAAATCCCTTGTTTTATTATTAAAGCCAGAAACTATACGTTATGTTATGGACATAATGACCTATTCAATACCTAAAGTTACCTTAACCTATCAGAATTAGTTTGGATTAGGTAGAACACTCGGTGAATAATACACCGATTAAGCTCTCAGTAAATTTTCTAACCCTGTCCCATAGCTTAAAATGATTCAAATCAAATTTCTAAGACAACTGTCACAGTATTTATTGAATGCTTTATTCACAAAAGTGTTACATCCAGTTGAATGAGGATCCCTCCCACGTGAATTTGGATGAACACCAATCGTTGTTTTAGTAATAAAAGGTGGAAAAGTTAGATTGTTGATTGTTTTAACGAAATCCACCATGAATTCTATCATCCTCATCCTCCAAGTCTTATCCCAATTCCACCGCCTATTCATTCAGAATATGAAAAATTTGAATAGACTTGTCCTTTTCACTCCAGTTGGCATCTCCCTACTCCCGTAGGGTTTTCATGTATGGGGACTGGGGAGTAACGAAGTGGAGTGGGTAAATTTAGTGGGTTTTGATCCTCACAAAACAAACCCGATCCGAATCCCTGAATTGAAGGTTGGAATCCAGACGAGATTCCGGACTTGGGAATTAAAGTTAATAGCAAGGTGGTGACTCTCATTAACCTCCATACCAAAGAATAAAAATCTGGTTCATGTCTTCTCTTAATCTTAGGGTGGAGATTAAGGAAAGTTGGACACTTAAAACAATGCTTCACCCACTGGACTGGACTGAAATCGATGAACCCAATACAAGTGATATGGTGAGAAGGTCTCCTTTGACATCTTTGCTATAATTAACAGGAATTTAGGCCTCTTCATCCAGCATTCTTTGGCAAAGCCCTCTTGTGCAGTTTATTAAATTTAATTTTGATGATGCTACATCAAATATTAAGGCGCGGGGGGCGAGCATGGTTGCTAGAGACCACCATGGTTCACTGGTTGTTTCTCATTTCATGGCTTTTCCGGTTTGCTCTCCAATGGAGATTGAAGTGTTAGCTTTAAAAGAAAGTCTGAAACTCTGCACACACATACAGAGAGGCTGTTTCCAAAGTCTGAAGACATTAATGGACCAGGTAACCTAATTCTTCATACAAACCCATTTAATTAATCCAGACACAGACATGGGTTTTGACTGGACCCGCTGAAGATCCTACCTTTTTCATGCCCTTTTAGTGATAAGTGAAGTTCATTTAAGACATTCCTTCTTTAATAAAAGTTGTTCAATAACCTAGCTAGTCTTGCTTCTCTTGGGGAACATTGAAAAGGAACCAACATATATATTGCCCGACACAATCTTAAAACCCGATTCGACTTTCAGACCAATTATTCCTATTATGATTCATATGCCATATTCTGTGAGGTCTTCGTTCTGAGCAAGAAGATGACAATTCATAATTTTACCTTGCAAGAATAAGTAAAAACAGAAAACAAGAATGTGGTCCAGCATCTGTCACAGCATTTGCTTCTATTTCAATTCTGTGCAGATTCCCGTGTCACAACACCCAAGTGAATCATAAAATTTCCTCATACTCGGGATTCGTTTGGTTGCACAAATTGTTAGATCAATTTTCTGAAATTTGGTATTTAATAAAAAAAAAAAAGGTTAGTGCTAATATATCTAAGAAAATGACATTTCTCCTAATTTTCTATATAGATCAATTTATGTCCAACCAAACAAGCTTTGATTGAAAATGGGTGGAATACTCAATTGACTAAGACTGGCCATTTAAAGTGCCCCAAAATAATATTTTTATTATATACACATATAGTTTATATCTTTGCTGTAATCTTAGGAGTAAGTCTAGTTTCAAGTTAAAAGCACCAATTACGTACATATAAAAGGATGTATGCAAGAGCAAAAGGCATCATTACGTAACAAAAAACATTCCTTGAGAGTTGAGACAAGTGATGAAATGAGTCAAGATGCATACAACAGAGCACAAATTGTTAGAGTACGTAATAGTTGAGTTGAATTGACATCAATCCTATATATCGATCCGGTTACCAAACAAGCTAGTTTATCAAGTCTGGATCTTCTCCAAACACCTGCTGAAATGAATATTGGAATCCGAACAGAGTGCATACAGAATCATAGTTAATTTGGTTTTCTGTATGTTCTGACCGGGTTGGAATTGGATCGAACTGGCCACAATTTCGGTTCATTTTCGAGAGCTAAGCAAATATTAGCCCCAGTCGGCAGTACAAGAAATGGCAGTTGGCACCATCATCAGAATTGGAATTGCATGTCAAGCTAGCAAATAATTAAGGGCATAACCTTGACCGATTAATAAGGCCAGCTGGTAAATGATAGCTCTCAGCTTAATTTGTATCATGCAAAGACAATATGTACATTTCTCTCTTTGTCTATTGACGTGGAACAAGGTAAAGAAATGCAACATGAACTTTAATTTACTAGAGATCGGCCTGCTGTTTTTCTTTCTGACTTGACTTGGTGTCCTTTTTGCAGCCTTTTTCCAAAGGGGAAAAGCTATTCCATTTTGTCTTCTGCTCTTCCCTTGGACCACAAATAAGTGAATAACACAACACATTAATCCATCTCTCATGGTAGCTAGGCCCAGAAAGGTCCCGGCCCCTTCAATCCTCCTCCTCCTCAAATAAGCTCTAGCTACTTTGGAAGTTAATTGGAACCCAAGCCGTAGCAAAGACCGAGTTGTGTCCCTTCCATGTGAGCACCAACCTATCATCTTCCTTCTTCATTCCCCACCCACTAGCATGTTCATCTAGTAAAAGCTTGACTTCACCAACAGTCTCTTCATCAAATGGAATACGGAGGAAATTTGCATTCTTCATTCGCTGTGACAACTTAAAACCGGATTCAGACCTTTCAATCCTTTGCATCCCCCCAAAACCAATGATGTTCTCAATCTTATGTCCAACATCGGCTTCATATTCCATCCTCTGCGCATTATCCTTGGGCAAAAAGGTCTCCAAGGCATCGAACGGTATCCACAGGTAATTGAAGGATGTAGTAATCCTTGATGTGAGGCTTGAAGAATCCAAATCGGAATCCTCGTCGACCACAGTCATTATACAAGGGTTAAGACCCTTGATCACCTCCAGGAATGTATTCCGCAAAGACAGATGATCAGCAGGCAAATAGCGAAGCCAGTTTTGGCAGTTGACGACCAAGGCCTCATCATCTCTGAGATCTAGCATGCAAGGATTCAACTGACTCATGAGGTGATGAAAGCTTCTAGAGAAATCACCCGATAAAGTATCAGCACCAGCAGATTTGCTGCAGGAAGATGAGCAATCGATAACATGGAAAGCGAAAGGAACATCCCTGGTTTTCGCGAAATTCGCCAAACGGAAACCAACTTGGTCGCTTGACACATTAAGCAAGGGAGGCACCGGAGGTCTACAGGAGGGCACAGTAATTCCGACTGAGGGAGGACCTTCAGGCCTTTTGGCCAAGGCATCGATGAGTGTAGGCCACTGCATACAATGAGTGATGCTAAAATCTATGATGTGTACTCTTGGGTACCCCTGGATTGCCTTTAAAATTGCACTGTTTGAGGCACAAAAACCAAACCTGTGCCAAGGGATCAGGTCGACATACCCTGCTAACTCAGTCACACTCATAGATCTGGTCTGAATCATCTGATCAAGGGCAGTCGTGCCATGAAAATTCATGGCAGCTGTAGGGAAAACCCTAGAAGCCCTGAAAATGAGGGCCCTCAAGAACCAAGAGATAAGCCTTTGATTGGAGTCACCTACTGCAGAAGCCACGTTGTTGAGCACCCACATCACTTGCTGAGCTAGGGTAACATCGTTGTTCTCTATGGCACTTGCACAGTGAAGGAGAAGCTTCTCTGTACAAGCTCCATCTAGGCGTCGTCCTTTAAGCGCGGCTTCAGGTAAAGAGCCTTGAGGGTTGTTGAATAAAAGACCATGGTATGAGTATGGTAGAGAGATCGGTGCACTGTTGCCTCTTCTTTCTGTCTTCATGGTTACAGACTTACAGGGTAGGAGGGGTGTCAGCTGCTTTGGCCGGCCGCTCTACGTGAGTGCTCTTGTATTGGATATCGGATTGATTATTATCGGAGCGGAAGCCAGAGGGGATGCTGCTGTCGAGGCAGTGGTGACACGCGTCTGATGGATATTCGTAGGTGGGATTGAGGAGAGCTTGGGTTTTATCAACTTGGTGAAGATGTTTGGTCTGGTATCTGGTCTGGTCTGGAAAACTCTAAGCCAGTCTGTTTTTTTAAACGTGAGAGCGAGAGATGTTTGGTCTGGTCTGGAGAAATCTTGAGTCGTACGTACTGGGTTTTCTCTCAAATCTTAATTAGCACCAATTCCTTCATCTTTTAAGCTTGCTACTTCACCAGAGAAAAATGTTTAGTTTTGATTTGTTGGCAGATGTTTACCTCGTAACCAAATAATAAAAACAAAGTTGCAAACGTCTAACATATATACGACCATTGAACCAAATATGGCCACATCTTTTATTCTCTAAAATATTGTGAAGGAATACAAGCGAAGTGGCATGAAAACATGTGTTTTAATAGATCGGAATCCAATTACCTGCAGTAAGGGAAGTATGTCATATATGGACAAAAACTTGTGCTTACTGAATCCAGTCCTCAACCATATAAATGTCTTACACTTATCAGAAAACAATAAAAATAAAAAAATACAAATGTCTTACACTTATCATATGGTATGAATGATCCTTTTGACCATATCTTATTAAATGCTACTTTCTCTGAACCTTGCGGGGTACATCATTAATGTTCCTTAAGGCTGTGTTTGTTTTGATAAAAAGAAAAAGAGCGAGAGAAGCATATAAAAGTTGGTTAAAGAATTTCACAAAATTTATTAACAACTTCCCTTCAACTTTCTGTTTCTCTCTCATTTAATTTCTACAAACCTTCTAACCATAAGCTAAATGTTAATTATGTAAAACTAAAACATGATTAAGTAGCTAGCCACTGCCCTTCTGATTGGGCACGAGTAATTAATTAAGAGCTTTTCTAATATAACGTTGGTCTCTTTATAATCTTATCTTATCTTTTCATTTTTCACTTAAACTTAAATAATAGTAGAGAAGTCATAGTTAGTTTGTTGATTATATCCGAGAGCCGGCCAGTCCTTTGTCAAGTATATGCTCATGATTTGCAGTTAAAGACAGATCCAATAGTATCGTCAAACTGTATTTTATTTTTGAGTTTAGTGACCGACCGACGGGTGCTCTTTATTCCCACCCTAGCTTTCACATGCTTCAGAGGTAAGATGAGATTGATTGTTTGTGGCATGTAAATCCATCAGAAACGACGAGTAGACTCCTTTCCATAAAAGGACATTTATTCATTTAATAAAATGTCACTTTTCTTTTTTCCTTTTCAGAATGGATGAATACCACAGATAGAGAATATGTCTTACGAAAGTTACCAAATTATCAAAGCTTCCAATGGTCTACGGTTGTTGTATATCTTCACCCTTTGCTTTCATTTCATTAAGAGATCAAGACCCAACAAGCCGCAGTGATGTTGGAGATGCATCTACTTTTATATTTATACAAAGTTGTAGCTAGTCTCTATTATTCATCGTATATACTACATGATAAACGTCTTTTGCGGACGTTTACTAGAAACTGTAAACTTTTTGTTTTGTCTATGGAATCAGTGGATATAGAACTTCTTTTTGTTTGATATAAGTTGGCTTCTACTTTGAGAATTTAATATACTGATTGTGTTATGTTGGGTCTTTCGTGTTTGTCAATCCTTACTATTATGAGTTTGAATTGGGTTTGACTGTGCTAGTGTGTCTTTGTTCTTCTACTTACTTTTTTTTTATTTGTAATTTTTGGTTGAAAGCTTTATTTTTAATTGATGGGGTAAAAGGGAAGGGATAGTGCTATTTACGTTTCTTTGTTATCTGTGGAAGCTTGAAAAAATGCAAAATTGTTAGGTGTAGGGGTGTAATCGAGTCGAGTCGAGCCGAGTATCAAGCAACTCGAGCTCAAACTTGCCTAAAAAACATAGAGCTCGAAACTCGACTCGAGCTCGATTGAGTTTCATATATTTTGGTCAAACTCGATTTGAGTTGATACTTACGAGCTACTTGAGCTCAACTCGACTTAAGTGATTATAAATAAATCAATAATAAGTATACTAAAATTAAAAATATGTTAAAAATTTCTAAATAAATTAATATTATAAATAAAAATATATTTTGAAAATCAGTTATAAATGTATTTGTTTATATTATAAATAAGTTAATATAAAAAAATTAATGTTTATTTATATTATAAATACAAATATATTAAAAAATATTGTTTTATTATGAGTTTGATTAGGCTCGCAAGCCACTCGAGCTGTTATTGTGAAGCTCAAACTCAACTCGACCAAGTACTCGACTTAAATTAAGCTCGATTCAAAGTCAATTATTGCGAGCTGATCCCAAACAGCTCACAAGTAGGCTCAACTCCCTTACACCCCTAGCTAGTTAGATGGGTAGTGTTCAGGATTGATTGATATTGACCCCCTTCTTTTGTGGAGTTATGTGTTTTATATGAATATGCATGCTGATTATATATTGACCTTTGTTGTTATTATCTATCCTAGGAGAATGACGTTGTAGCCCACTTCGTAAATTATAAACCCTATAGCGCCTGATCGTTAAAATAGGAGCCATTGCAATCCTCTCTCTATCTCAAAATCCTAGTGCACCCCCATCCCCTATTTGATAGATATTCCATGTCATCATCTCCTATAGTTTTGGACAAAATTACCCCCAACTCTATCGACCCATATTTCTGTGGGAAGTTATGTTACATCTAAAAGTTAATTGCATTCCATTGTTCATGCCTTATTCTTCGAAACTAATTGCCCCACTATTCTAAGTCATTTACAATGGCTATAGTTCACTATTTTATTCTTTCTCCCAAGAACAAGAGGCAATAGATAGATAGATAGATAGATAGATAGATAGATAGATAGATAGATAGATAGATAGAGAGAGAGAGAGAGAGAGAAACATTCACCCATGTATCTTCATCTTGATACAATTCATTGGGAGAAGTTTTTTTATCTGTGCTTTTCATGAATTTGCAGGACTAATAATATCTTTTTCATGTTTTTCAATTTGATCTTCAAAACCTCTTGGGTTTGCTAATTGGGAATTCTTTAATAAATGTCGGTTTTTATACACAATTTTCAACTGCTTTTTAGTTCATCGTTATTAGTGTTTCTCCTGAGAATACAAGGCAATGGAGAGAGAAAGAGACAAAGCAAGTCCTTTTGGTATCTTCATCTTGATAGTGGGAGAAGAATATGTGGTTGGGTTTGGATCCTAGGTTGTTATTAAGTAAGTTGTTTCATCTTGCTTTGAACCTTCACTCCAAATATGTTTCTTCCATTATGGACTTGAGCTTCAGTCTAATTCATAAAGATCTCCATTGGAGTAGTACAACAAGATTTCATATTTTACTACCTCTCTAGTGACAACAATAGATGAAGGAAGAAGTTGTTGGGCAATAGAAAGTTATGACGCAGAGCTCCGAGTTGATATAATAATATATTATGATTGTCAAAAGCTTGTTAATCTCTTCATGCACTAGGCTCACATTTGAAGGTTGTTGCTTAGTTTTCAATCCTTGTCGCTTATTCATGTAAATAGATAGTTAAATCTAATGGCACATTTTTTCGCTTACTTTGCTTGTAAGGGTAAAGCTACTCTTGTATATAACTCTTCTACCCACAATCATGTACAGTTATTTTCTAATCAATGGAAAAAAAGATTTCATATATATGAAATTTATAAATATTGCACACTTCCTTACTCTTGTGTAACCATTAAGCCTACACACAATTTCTATAATTTTTGTTTATTTAAGTCTATATTGAACCAATATGTATGTATTTCAACAAAAAAACAAAGATTTGGAAAACTTAAATTTGAGCCCCTAGAATAAATAGAAAAATAACCATAAAAATATATCAACATTTGTAAATGGATAGGATATATCAATTATTAGTACAGTATTTGAGAATTGGGGTACTAACCAACAACTTAATACTAGAGATTATTGGTTCTCCTCCTACCCTGTCCTACCCTTTAATGGTTCATCCATCTGGCATTGCTAGGTAAGGGGCTATTTTCAATCTAGTGGTCTAATCAAAACACATCACTTTCGGTTCTTAATATGATACCAACTTTTGGTCTGTTGTTCTTTCATTTTTTTACTTGTCTGTAGTGCTCGTCACCTTTTTTAAGGGCATTCAATATTTTCTCTTTCACCAACTCTATTACATCTTTTATGACTTAGGTATGTGTCTTGTTTGGATCTTATTCATATGGCTAGTGTTAGAGAGTGTATGCCCTTAGCTCTAATTAGCATGATGTACATTATAACATTTATTGTAAATGAATAAAATACATATTTGATTCATGTTATTGTGGTGTGTTTCTGTGTAATACTTTTAAACTGGACACATATGAGACTCGTGTTAGTTTAGAATCTTCACAGCCGTTGGATAGATTTAGGGAGTTTATCCTACCAAGGTTAACACTAATGTGCCACCAAGTTTGTTGGGGTGGCTTGTCTCAGCTACCAGGGTGAGACTTGAGGTATATGTAGTGTGGGTTTTCTTAAAACCCTGAACTAGACCAAATTCTACTGTTGTCCTGGACCTTGGAGATAGATGGGCAAAACTGGAATATTACACTTGACCCCTAGACTCGATTATGGTACTGCACTAGGTGTCGGATTGGGCTGTCTTTGATATGCCAATCAGTAAGATCCTTATCGGGGGTCAAAACCTGGGTATGTTGGGGCAATCCTAGAATTCACCTGAGTGGGTGATCATAGTGACAGGATCAGCCCATTTTTCGGACAAAGTGAATGATCGGGGAAACCTAAACTCTCGGCAGTGGATTTCAAATCTGTTTGAAATTTGGTTTTGCAAAATATATTTATATAGAGATATACTTATATATTATGTTTTCAAATTGTTTGCCAAAGGTTTTAATTCTCGGGATCCATGTGAGTAGAGAGTTTAACACTCTACCTTGCAGCCAAGAAAGAGGTCATCTCTTGTCGGACAGTGTTGGATCATTATGGGCTGAGAGGTTAAGTGTAAGACCATTGAGGGTTATACTTGATGGGCTAATCTTGCATCTGCGCACAGTCCTTGGGCCTTCATAATATGGCTGGACCCAATGACCATTTAGTGTAAATGTTGGGCCCGTTAAGAGCCCATGGTGATGGACTCAGGGGTTCACTGTATTCAGTAGTGAATTTGGCCAGGCCTTGTAACAGAGGCTAGGCTGAACCCATCTGGCTGATGTGTAGATCAATGATAGGGTCCCACGCCATACAAAGAGAGCCAAGCTAGCCAGCATTAAAAGGAAGTGAACCTAAAAGCTTAACGAACCAAAAGCCCATTTTGAACTAGGTTAATTGG